CGGGCTTCTCCCCCCCATAATTCTTGGGATATCCCTGCATGGGCCTAAGCCTACGAAGCGCCTTTCCGCCATGCGCTCCCATCGTATATGGTCAGGAGAATAATATTTTAGGGAACCCCCTCTGGTTTTCTTGGGTTGTAGGATCCCGGATGGCGGCAATGGCTCGAGGGGTCCGAAGACTTCGAGATTGGGGTTAGAGGATCCCCTTGGGTTCTCGAACCCAATGCAAAAAGCTCGACTCACTTTGGTTGAGTTTTGACCATTTCGTGACCCAAAACGTGACCTAGGGTTCTGCAGGCGGTTGATTGCCATACTTCCACCTTAACGAACAGTCGAGGCCTGCCGGAACCTGGTAGCCTTCGGATCATCCACCGGTCTGCTCATCGACGGCTCGTGTGAGTGCTCGATTAGGGCGCAAGAAAGGCCTGCAACACTCTGGCACAGTAAGTGGTACATGGATGGTACTTATCAGCTGGGAAGCTGGGAAGCTGGACTGGCTGAACGTGAGTGTATGTCATTGTCTCCAGTGCGCTCCGTACTAGCTGAAAGAGCTAAGAGAGCAGCTCCACGCAGCTCTCAGCAGAAAAAGGGGGACATTCAGAATCGTCTTGAGGGGCATCCAAAGTTGACTAGCTGAAAATGCACCTTAAAAGATTTTCTCAAACCCAATGAAGGCTTTCTTTGCATTCAAGATTGTCAACCAATGCTGCTTGCAAATTTCTGAAGAGCGGCATGAATGAGCAAGCTGCGCATACCGCAGCCATTGTTTAGATCTTTCAGAACGATTTCGCCGCTTGAAAACCATGTTTGCTTGCCAACTCTACGCTCACTGTTCGGAACCCTAATTTCTTGCCCGCCGCCAGTACGGTGCCAGTGCAGTGCGAGTGTACTAGCACCTTGGTACGAACCCGGAGTCATCGTGATACGACCCTGAAATTTTAGAGTACCGTACGGTAATTGTCGAACTGGTACTGCGGTGGTACCGCGCTGACAATGCGCCGACTCGGCGGAGTTTGAAGCAGGCGAATCCGCGTACGTGGCATGTGTATGCGGCCGCCTCCAAATCCTCTGCTTCTTGCTGATTCAGATTTGCTTGCTCCGACAGAATGTTTGGGTCCTCTAGCCCATTGAGCTCTTCGTCTGGAATGTCATCGCCGCTAGAAGACCGGACAGCTGCTCTCATTATCAAGCACAGTGGAAGCAACGCCAATGGATGTTCGCAGCTGCTTTGAGCACCTTCGAACTTTGACCCCTACCATGCAAGCAACCATGCAAGCAACCATGCAAGCAACCGGAGATTTGGCCGTGCATGGGCCGACTTTAAAAGTCTATCCAAGACATTTCGTAATTTGCGTTCGATTTCGATAGCTTGACAGATTGCAGCGAATATTGGGGCCCGCTATCCGTCGACTTTCGTCCGGTTTCGATTTTGGGAGCCTTGAGTCGACCAACATGAGTTGCAGAGCTATATCGTCCAAATTCAAGTAAAAGAGCGGGAGTTTGACATTCCCGAGCGTGTGAAACCCTAAACAAACCCTAAAATTGAACAATCCATTACAACTTCGTCAAAAGTCTGTCAAATGTTATTTTTCGTGGTCTCTTTCGCTTAAAGGGCGCCACTTTTGATCAGCTGCAAGCTTCCACCGCTTCCTTCATTTGCAAAGGCCGCGCATCAGCATGCGACCAAAATTGCAACGGGGCCACCAAGCGGAGAAGGTGGCCGCGCCGGAGGATGAAGTTGGTAACTATGAGAACTCGGGGAAGGCGCAAGTCCCGAGTGAGTCCGAACCTGCAATCGACAGACTAGAGCGTGAAGAGTTTGGCCTTCGAGGCGCCTGGGGACCAAAGGATTATCTGTCATACGTGGAAACTCTAGCTGCGCAAAAAAAGTGGTCTCGAGAGAATAAAACGGAGGCAGAAGCTCATTATCAAGCACAGTTTGCAGAGCGAGTCAGCGGGGAGCAATCTCCTCCGCCAGTGACCGTGCAGACAGAGGAAGGGGCTCCGGAAGAAGTCCAAAAGGAGCGGGGCATTATGATCCCAGAAGAATACCAGGCGGAGCTTGACGAAATTGCACGGAACAATGCTCCATTTGAAAAACCCTTCCAAGACTCAGAACCTGATGAGGACGATCCTCCTAAAAGCGGACACTTGAATGCAGGGGAAGACGATCCCGATGCGCCCACCAAATCGGAGCTCCAAGAAAACCTGATGTTCATGGAGCATGCACGAGGGGAGGAAGCGCCCGCAGAGGTTGAGGAAGAAAGAAGGGAGGAGCTGCATTCGATGTTGGGAGAGCCTGTTTGGGAAGTGGACCCAGCGGAGCAGCACAAGAAGCACAAGGCATCAATAAAAAGCTTCGGGAAGATCTCGAGAGAACTTGTGACGGCCGGCAAGCAGCCTCAAAAGAAGCGGCGAAGCAAAGCAACACGTCGGAAGCCATCAAGCGTCTGGGGCGTGGTGGGGGGCAAGAAGCCGGTGGCTTGGGCGGCGGTGCTTGCAGGTAAGCCGGAGGCAGTAGAGGCCACGGGGCAGAAGGGCTCAAGGGATGCCAAAAAAAGAAAGAAAGTGGCACCGACGGGCGCCATCGAGAACCCGGCAGCTGGGGAGGGGAAGCAGAAGGTCGCGAAGGGAGGCAGTGGAAAGGCGGTGGTTGGAGGCAGGCAGAAAGCATCGGCGGCGACCACGCCCTCTCGGCCCGAGAAGAAGCTGCGGCGGTACAAGCTAGGCACCTTAGCTCTCAGAGAATTTAGGAAGAAACAGAAGAGCACGGACTTCCTCATTCCACGAAGCACATTCGCTCGGATCGTGAAGCGCCTGTGCAACAAGTATTCGAACAGAACGACCTCCGGCAAGTTTTTTTGATGATGGGCAGCCGTTTATTTGGACTGAAAAGCTTTCTCTATTAAGTTTCATGGTTTTGGGAGCATGCAACCCGCCTTGCTTTCGTTCATGACCCGATCCGACCCAAAAAAGCGACTGAAAAGTCGGAGGGGAAAAACAAAGGCAAAACAAACAGCGCAGGGGCCGGAAGAAGGGGCTGAAACAGAGAAGCTACCTGAGAAACGCAAAGAGACGAAAGCGAAGCAGGGGCCTGGCGTAGGGGCTAAATCGTCTGGGGTGCGTGCCGAGATGGTGGAGGGAACGTTGGAGAAATCCTAGTGAGGCGCAGGGAAGTCGAAGCGGGGGACGAAGAGGGGAAAAGAAGCAAAGGAGAAGCCTGGAGGAGAGAGCGAAGCCTCCAACTCGGGTGAAGTGGAGGGGGAGAAAGCGGAGAAGGAGGCTTAGAGAGGGGTGGAGTTGTCCAAGGGGGATAAGGAAGCCGGAAGAAGCGTCGGGAAGGGACATAATCGTGCAAGGAAGGTGCAAGAGGAGAGAAGAAAGTGGCTTGACCGGTGCGTGCAACAGGAGCCGTATGCAAACTTTAGGAAAGGTGCGAAATTGTACACAACGATTGCGTTTATACACACAAGCGGTAAAATAGAAAGCAGAAAGTAAGTCTGTTCTAATGGCACTTGAAGCACGGGCTGTTGTGAAGTGAGCAGTATAGCGTGCACGAGATCCCAAATACGTTCTAAGAGCATAGAATTTGTGATTGTGCGTAGCTGTACATTCGGTGCAAGCAGCAAACTTCGTTCGTGCTAGAGGTTGTATGATAGTTGCAAGTAGCGTAGCAAGGCGGCGTCAATAGATAACATTAGTTGCCAAGCACCACTTGTCTTTTGAGACCTTGCCCCGAAATACCCGAAATGCAATGAGGGAGTTTCCAAGAAATCCCGACATAGGCCACTCGTATGTAACGTTCACTGTACGATGCATGTCGACGTGCTTACATCATGATCGTGTGACCTTATCCAAGCAAGTCATTTGATTGGGGAAATTGATTTTGCAATCGATACAATTTGGTTGGTGTATGCCATTGTAAAAAGTATTATATATGCTGTCACGAATGGAGATCCACTACATCACGAAAGTCAAGACGACGAACCCTTATGCACAATGTTTATTGTTTCCGCCCTATAGCAACTCATCATTAGTAGGCTACTTCACCGTCCCTTTGGCGCGGCGACGTTCTGGCCCCCCTCTCAAGCCGCTCTCTTCTCCCTCTTTCCACTCTGCTTTGACCTTTTAGCCCCTCCCTGAGGCCCATGCGCAGCTTCCCGAGCCGCGCGCTCCGCAGCCATTCGCGTCTGGCGCTGCAACTCCGCCTTCTGAACCCATTTAACATCCTTTGTCGCCCTCTCTCTTGCCTCCCGTTCGGTTTGCTTTGCGGACTTCCTTTTCTTTTCATCCGCTTTGCCGGGCTCGTACCCGACCTTCTCACGTTTGTGCCCAAGGCCGTGCTCCACGGCGGCTTGCAAGGGCAGAGTGTTGTCTTCGTTCCGAATCCCGCGGATCCTGCGCGCTAGGTCCAGATCCTTCGTGTGAAGGGTCTTCCGCTTGCCGTGCGCCTGGCAGAAGATCACGTCACCGAACAACCCTACGACAAAGTCCCGACTTACCTTAATCAGGGCGTCCAACGCCGACGCCTTTTACCTAGAGGCAAGCTTGCCAACTCGGATCAGCACGATGATAAAGGGGTGACAGCCTCGAATCCGCACGATTCTCAAAAATAAGAAGAATTGCTCACTTTTGAATATTCCACGTCCATACTTGGAGACGTCGATCGATCTAGCCACTTGCTTCAGCTCACGCCGTATCAACACCTAGGCATTCCAAGCCAGGTGGAACTGCATGCCTAAACTTGCCGTCTTCGTTGGTACCAGGTCGCCGGGCAGTCTCTGCATCGCATAGCTCGTGCACGAGACGAGCAAACGAGAGCCGCGGGATGAGCGGGTCCGTGCTCTTCTGGTACTTGCGGATCCCCCTAAGAGTTAGGGTGTCCGGCCTGTACCGACGCGCCTTCTTCTCTAGTTGGGGATTGCCAGAGGCAGCGCCTTCCGGCGCCTTACGCTTGGAGCCTTTCGAAACATGGTCAATGAATTAACCGGAAGCATCTTGCTTGAAACATGAAAGCACAACCTGGCAAAAGCCCAAAAGGTAGAGCGTGCGCTTGATCCATATCCAAAGATTCAAAATCCAAAGCTCGTAGGAACTGCGGAATGAGGTGAACATGACTTCCGTACCTTTGCCAGCCTGTGTAGTATGACTCTCCAGTGCCTTTCCCTTGCCGCTTGTCGCTGCCTTGAGGTTTGCGCCCTTTTGCCCACAACGTCTCCGCAAGTGCATATATACTCAAGATGAAAGCCCACCATATTGAGCATGTGCACCGGGGTTCCAAACAAGAATTCGAGCTCGAGTCAGCAGAGACCCATATAAGCTGCTTCCAACTGAAATAGTGCAATATCCTAGCGCACTCATGACCCGTTTTTTGTAAATAAACCGTCTGCCACGAAAACGGAATAAGCTGCTTAGAGCTGAGATTGACCGCACTGTATACCAAAGAGCGATCATACATCAGAGTGTGGGAAATGAACCCATGCGGTCCTTTGGAAATCTTGAAAGCGGATTGCTCACCCGCGGTCGTTGCATGCTTGCCAATCGCGGCCTTGCTGCTAGCACCCCCTTGTGCCTTCTCCTTTCCAGTGCCGCCAGCTGTAGCTGGACTGGCAGCAAGCACCGCCGCCCCAGCCACCGGCCTTCCCTTGTCCCCGAGAGTTTTGGAGGCGCTTCGTAACTCCTTGTAATATACTGATTTACGCCTTGGCTGTTGACATCAACCACTCATGCTTGTCACAAGCTAGGGTCAAACCACCCTTGCACATAAGCGCCTTCACAAAGAAGCGCCTTTTTCCTCTCAAGCATCTCTTAGAATGAATACCGTCACATGATAATAGTCCAAAGTCACTCCAATCCCGTAGCTAGGTGTACTCTAGCAAGATCGGATCTACTTCCACCACCCACTGGTCGGTTCAACTATATGGACTCCTTTCCATCAACCGGTCACTCTATCACTCACAATTGTCAATACGGCCTATATTCCACTAGGACTTGTGACCGGGGCACTATACTACTAGTGGTCGGTAGTACCGTACTAGATACTAGTGGTCGGGGTACTATTCTACTCGATTCGACTCACATCTCACGATCCAGAATCCGATTCAAACGCAATCCGACGATCGATACTCCACGACACAAACCTCTAATTCTACGGTCGATATTACACAACAAACCGCAATCCGACTGTCGATATTACCCGACACAACTCACGATCCTACGGCTCAAATCTATCGAGCCTAAACCAACAATTTGGCCGTCAATCAACTCCGTTTCTCAACATTGGCTGCTCTATCTCTCCACCTGAGCCCCATCCTGTGCCCGCATTCTATTCTGGTGTGCAAGTTCTTGGATGAAACCCTGAAGCTCGTCCATCTGCCCCTCCGTCGGAGGCTCAAGCGTAATGTCCTCCATTTCTGCAACCAAAGAGGGCTTCGGCTGGATTGCTGCTAGCAGATCGAACATATCAGCACCGGTCCCTGGTCTCATGGTCCAATCCCACTCACTAATCGCTTGCTCTTTTGCCCCATCCTCTGCAGGCACTTCGTTTTGTTGTGCACCTTCCTGAAGAATGGCCTCCAACTCCTGCACTTTCTAATGCTTCAAGGCCATAATGTCTAGAACTTCATCGTCATCAAACTCACCCGCGTGATAATTTGCTGCAAAAGTGGCTGCGACTTCCCCTTGATGATGTGCATAATATACGCTCTAACCCTTGCTTTCTTCTCTTCCGCTTCTTCAGTACCCGAGTCGTTTTGCGCCGCCTTGTAGTCAATGAACTAAAAAGGGTCTATATGAACCAAATCGAAACCATGTGGCACCTGGGTATAAGCTGCAACTCTAGCAGCAAGATGAGAGTTATGGACTGTTGGTTCCAACAATTGAGCCAGTGCCTGCGCCTCCTTCATTTCCGAAGCTCCCTCTGCCTGAGCCTGCGCCCTCTCCTTTTGCAAAGCTACCTTTGGGCCTCAACATTAAAAGCACATAGCACGTTCCGTTTTTCTCTCATGATGAGCGCTCGGAGCTGCAAATGTTGGACGCAATGGAGACCTGCAACTGCCTTGAAGAGAGCCCTAGCTTTCAGCGATGGATAGAAATGAAGTCGAGAGTTCCGGGCGGCGCAACCCTAAAACTCCTGTAAAATCAGAAGCTGGCATTCGATTCCGATAAATTGGAAGAACACTATTCAGTCCACTATTTGTTAGCCGTCGAACGCCCCCGTAGGTCTCGATGAGGCGGACTACTAAAGGCTGAGGGAAACCTTGACTCTGCACAAATATATCTTTGAAATGCCATGCCGAGGGCGGTCCGTGCCGGGTAGTGTCCAGATAGCGACACGTGGCGCAGACGTGCCACGTGGCGGCGATAGGGCGAGCCGCGGCCGGCTTGCAAGCCCGGCGCGCGCGCCGCGGATAGAGTCTAGGGTTAGTCCACTAGTGTGTGGTTAGTGGTAGACCGCCGAGATTACCGGCCGAG